GTTATTGCCTTTTTGTTAAAAGCCCTTTTAACTGGGGTGAGATGGTATCTCATTGTAGTTTTGATTTGCATTTCTCTGATGATTAATGATGTTGAGCATTTTTTCATATACCTGTTGGCCATTTGTATGTCTTCTTTTGAGAAATGTCTATTCAGATCCTTTGTCCATTTTTAAATCAGATTATTTGATTTTTTTACTATCGAGTTCTTGGACCTCCTATAGTTATTAATTCCTTATCAGACAGGTAGTTGGCAAATATTCTCTCCCATTCTGTGGGTTGTCTCTTCACTTTGCTGATTATTTCCTTTGCTGTGCAGTAGCTTTTTAGCTTGATGTGATCCCATTTGTTCAATTTTGCTTTGGTTGTCTTTGCCCTGGGGATATTATTCAAGAAGTCCTGGCCCAGACCAATGTCCTGAAGCATTTCCCCAATGTTTCCTTTTGGTAGTTTCATAGTTTCAGATCTCAGATTTAAGTCTTTAATCCATTTTTATTTGATTTTTGTATATGGTGAGAGATAAGGGTCTAGTTTCATTCTTCTGTGTATGGATATCCAGTTTTCCCAGCATCATTTATTGAAGAAACTGTCCTTTCCCCACTGTATGTTCTTGGCACCTTTGTCAAAGATAAGTTCACTACAGGTGTGTGGATTTATTTCTGGGTTCTCTATTCTGTTCCATTGGTCTATGTCTGTGTTTATACCAGTAATGTACTGTTTTGGTTACTATAGCTCTGTAGTATAAGTTGAAATTGGGTAATGTAATTCCTCCAGTTTTGTTCTTTTTCTTCAGGATGGCTCTGGCTATTCTGGGTCTTTTGTGGTTCCATATAAATTTCAGGATTATTTTTTCTATTTCTGTAAAGAATGTCATTGGTATTTTGATGGGAATTGCTTTGAATATGTAGATCACTTTGGGTAGTATGGACATTTTAGCAATATTGATTCTTTCAATCCATGAACATGGAATATCTTTCCATCTTTGTCCTCTTCAACTTCTTTCATCAATGTTTTATAGATTTCATTATAGAGATCTTTTACTTCTTTGGTTAAGTTTATTCCTGGGTATTTCATTTCATTTGTAGCTATTATGAAGGGGATTACTTTCTTGGTTTCTTATTTGGATTGTTTATCCATAGAAATGCTACTGATTTTTGTATGTTGTCAATGTGTCTTGATATCAGATCAGACAAAGCACAACCAACACCAGTCCTTGCTATCTTTGCATTGCCCACAATTGTGTAAATCAGCAGTTAATTTCTGCCAGAATCATGTGTGTTGCAGACTTCACGATTTGTCCAGGCATACATGGTAATTTTTTACACAGTTTTCAGCAGTCAATTTTTTTAAATTTATTTTATTTTTGAGACAGGGTCTCGCTCTGTTGCTCAGGCTAGAGTGCAGTGGCCCAGTCAAAGCTCACTGCAGCCTCAAACTCCTGGGCTCAAGTGATCCTCCCCCTCAGCCTCCTGAGTAGCTGGGACTATAGGCACAGGCCACCACATCTGGCTAATTTTTGTATTTTTTTGTAGAGACAGGGTCTCGCTACATTGGCAGTCAATTTTAAATAAAGATATTATCTCAGGAAAGTTGTACATCATTATATAGTTAGATAAACTTCCCCAACCACTTGAAAGAAATGAAATATTGATTATTTTTGCAAGAATCTTAATGTAATGTTGCTCTTTTCTTGAATCTAAAATGAGCTTCCTACAGCACAGTAGTTTTCATCTAAGAACCTCTATAAATGTTAATACATTATTCCTCACTCTAACCACTTATTCAGTTATTAGATTTCTAAAACTGTGCCCTTCAGGAGAGGAGCTTGAGAGAAAGAGGACGATAAAATGGCATTAATTAAAAACACTAACGTTTTAAAACAGCAGGAGCAATAATAAAGTAACATAAAATTGTTCAAGAAGAAAATAATGCCCTTCTCTCAGGCTTCTCCTCAGAACAGGGCAGCCTAAAAGGTTGTTTTATATCCTGAATTTCAAGACTTGGCGGGGGGAGGCGCTTGTGGCTTCAAAGAGAGAGGAGGATGCATAAGCAGGAGCCTTCCCAAGGTCACGTGAAAGGTCACATAATGACTTGCGTCCATTCCCCCGCCTCTTACTATGACCACAGGCCTCTAAGCCATCCCAAACTGTGAGCGCATGATGGGGAAATGCTCGTTCCCCAGCACGCTACCCCAGGTGTAAAGCTGGCGTCGGGGAGCGGAGGTACGCCTGCTACAAGAGCACCAAGCCTTTGCCATCCTGCACATAGGGAAACAACACCAGGGACTGGGCATGATTTTCCTAAGATTGTGCAACAAGCCAGTGCCAGGGAGCCAGAGAGTGCTCAGGACAGGCCCAAGCAGGGACTTGCAGGGACACAGGCACACCCCACACGTCTTGCCGCAGAGGCAGCTTGCACAGAGAACCATCCGCGCTCAGCCTTGACAGTCTTCCGGCCACCCTGGAGGGCAGGAGCCCTCTCCTTAGAAAAAAGGATGATGTTTATATCCTCATGATCCTGGGGCCCTGGGGCCGGGGGACAGTCCTTGGAGGCTTGCCCAGGAAGCTCAATTACTGAGCTTCAACTGTTACTTCTGTGTTGAATCCCTTAGTGGAGATGCCAGTCTCGGGGTCTCAGGATGTCGGGGCAACTGTGCACGACCAAGAAGTCATTAATCCAGACCGTCTCCCCTAAATGCAGTGCTTTCAATCTTTGCCTGGCCTGGACTGCCCAGGCAGGCGCCTGCAGCCTCCACTCAGCCTCCCGGGTCAGGCTATTCAGCGGGGGAGTGGGTGGGCGGCCTGCCTCCCCAGCAGTTCCGGGAAGAGGTAGAACCACAGCCCCGTGGTAACAACCAGGAAAAGCAACCTCCTGGCCTGAGCCTCACACAGACATGGATCCTGGGTGGGGTCAGGGAAGACACAGCTCTAGACCAAATTGTTTGTCAGGCCACAACGTCAGCCTCCGCAGGGCTGCATGCCCCCCTCCCATTCCTGCCAGGAAGCGGCCAAGGTCACGTCGTGCATGAAGTGCATCCTGCACGTGCCTTCCGCTGCTCCACGAGGGGCTCAGAGAGAAGGAAGGTGGGAACTGTGACCCACTGATCACACCAGGCCCTCCCGAACACCTGCAGGGACCTGTGATGGGGTCAGGAGACTGGCTCTGAGGCACAGCGAGGGGGGCTCCTCGCTGCGTGAAAACCATGGCTGTGTTCCTGTCCTAGGACCCGCCTCGCTATCCCCTACCCCGACTCCCACCACCTTGGTCTTGTTCATATCTAAATGCACACTTGTCCTCCACTGCTTCGGCATCCATGTAAGCTTACCTCACAGAGCTGAGCATAACGTGATAAACTCATGGAATAAACAAGATCGCGCTGTCATGGGCAGAGAGAAGGGCCTCCTGGTCTATGTACGTGGGGTGTTGGGGTCCTGTCTTGGTGCTGAGGCATCTGATTAAGAGCCCTGACCAAGGTCCCAACTCTCTGAGCCTCAGGTGCCCACCATAGTATGATAGGGTGGTCCCTAGAGTCCTTTCCCAGGGTGACTTCCTGGTAATTCTACGGTGCAGCACCATAGTGACACCTACCCATTTACTGAGCACTTATCTCGTCCTAGTTAGTATGTTGAGTTGTACATGCTTCGTCCAGTGCTGATACCCACGAGCGCCTGATGAAATGGGCCCTATAATTATTTCCGTTTTACAAAGAAGGGACCTGAGACTCAAAGGGGCTAACTAACATGTTACAGGGCACACAGATGGTACGTGGGAGAGCCAGGACTGGAACCCAGGCAGCCAGACTCCAACCTCACCCTGCAGCCCCAAGGCTCCCGGCCCACTGCCAGTGTGGCTTTCTGAGCTGGCCCCTGCTGGTCTAGGCCTGCTCCGTGCTGTGACCCCCTCCATTCTGCACTCCCAAGGAGGGTGGTGACACTGAGGCTCACACGGGGCACCCCCTCCCCACTCAGCAGCTGGGACGCTCTGTTCCAGCCAAATGCCAGGCCTGGGCTGGGCCCAGCAGTCCCCATTTCACTCTATTCAGGAAAAGGCAGCTGTGTAAAGCTGGTTTTTTCCTTTGTTATTGTTGTTAATTCAACTAGCCAAGCCTAGCCCTTTATTAAACAAGAAGTGCTTTAAAAACAAAAACAAAATAAAGGCCCAGCTCACAGAGCTCCTGAGGGAATTGCTTTGTTCAGAGCAGCAGGACATCAGGGGAAAGGACAGGACTCAACCTGTCAGCTCCTCAGCTTGGCTCCCATAGGGCACAGTGAGGACCAGGCAGGCAACAGCAAGGACAGCGCACGAGGCAAGCCTGACACAGTGGCAGAGGCCTGGCACGGAGGATGACCAGCCTGTGTGCGGAAGGGTCGGGGAGGGGCCAGAAGGAACAGCGGAGAAGGGGTGTCTGACCTGCCCTTGTCCTTTCTCCCAGCAGCAGCAGTGAAGAGAGCCCCAAGAAGGACACAGAGCCTTGGAGCAGCCCCCGTTCCCCAGAACTGCAGGGCGGCAGCAGGCGTGCGTCTCCCCCAGAGCTGTGCGTGCTGGGCCACGGGCTGCAACGGGAGTCCCACACTGGCCACATCCAGGACAGATCCCAGCCAGAATCACCGCCCCAGCAGAAGGAGGTGGCCTGAGAGGCTGGCCAGCCGGGTCACATTGACACCAGTCACCCCAGAGGCAAAGGGTGACAGCCAAGTGTCCAACCTGCCCCAGAGATGGTGGGCAAACCAAACTCCTACCGAGGCATCCTGAACAGGCCTCGGAGGTGCACCGTCCAGCCAGTCTGCTGAACTTTATACGATCGCCATTTTCGGTCCCAGATCCTGCTTTGCCTTGGGGTTCAAAGGGTAAACAGAACTTTAGACCCCACAATGTTACTCTAATCCTTCAAGGGCTGGCCTTAATTTGGGGGGGAGAATGCATTATGGCATGCTTGCTGGCCAGGTGTTTTACCAGGGTGAGCTCCATGAAATCATTTAAGCCTCACGACGATGAATGAAGCAGATAGCGTTCTCCAGTTTTGCAGATATGAAAACCAAAGGTGTGGGGAGGGGGATCCCCAAGTGTCTTGCCTGAGGTCATACAGCTAAGAAGACAATAGAGCAAAATTTTATACGACATGTCTGGCACTAGAATCTCTGTTCTTTTCATTGCATTTCATTCTCAAGATTATCCCATCCCCCCACCTGCCTAAAGCGTATATAGTTGTACGAAGGTTTGGGAAGTTTTGTTTTTTTAAGGTTAAGTAGCAGCACAGCATTAAAGTTCCCATTAAGAGCTTAAGAAGCTAATTGCTCCCAAGATAAGAAGGCTGAGGTGGGATTAAAACATACCGTCCCACCCACCCTGCGTCCTCTCCTCCCTCCCTAGCGCAGTCCCAATGTTATAAACTTAGAGCTGCCAGCTCATGGCCACAGCCGCGCTGCCTCTTGGCCTACACATGTAGCAAATGCTCTTACCAGCCCACACTTCCACATGCTTCTTGGCTGAGGGGTACAACCAAGCCTCCCTAACAAAGCGGCCTACTCTCCACACCCCGTGGGCGCTACAGCTCCGCGGAAAGCATGGGTGAGGCGCACATACTCGCATGCCAGTCTTCGCCGGGAGGCTTCTTGGCCAACTTTATTCCCAGGTCATCTGCAGAACTTCTGCTGGAGTGGAAATCAAAGTGAAGAAGGATCATTCTTGCCAAAACCTGCTTCTGCCAATGAGCTAGATATTTGCTGCAGATCTTGGGATTTTTCCACTAGAGATTGCAGTATGCTTTGTACGGAGAAAAGATTCTGCAGTGATTGGGTGATTCGATGCTGACTCAGTGGGTCGTCGAAAGACAAGAATTCTCACCCACAGGGTACAGCTAATGGACAGTCCTCCAGATCTGCTGCAAGGCTGATTTTTTAAGTTTGGGGGAATTATAGACCTGAAATCCTTTCTTGTCGCAATAGATCGTGGGCTCAAAAACTTGTTAAACTGGGTCCTGGGGACTACAGCTGCCACCCTCAGAGAGAGGTTGTGACTTGGAGTAAATGAATCCCACCATGACCTGTCCAGTTATTATTCAAAGATACCCGAAGAACAATTGATTACACTACCAAGAGGGGCCACACCTCCCCTATCTTGGAAACCGTCTGCACACACCCAGCTACGTGCTCACATTTGCTGGTGTCACTGCCTTAGCTCAGAACAGTTCTCAGGCAGCATCCAGGCCAACCGGCTCTGGGCCCAAGGACACCCACCGCTAGTGGACACTCAGAACTGCCCGGGCTGCAGGCAGTGGGAGGAAGTCCAGTTACCCAGGCAGGGCAGGGGCTGGGGTAAGCATGGGAGAATGAACCGGATTCAGGAAACTTTCTGGGCATTCTCCCTGCATGGGTGGGCAGGCAGCTCAGTCACCAGGGTGTGAGCCCTGGATAGGCCGGGCACCGAGCTGTGTGAGCACGAGGCCCACGCTGTGGGGAGCCTTTGAGACTCAGCTCACAGGTAGGTGGCGTCAGGCGGGACCAGTCAGAAAGTGGATCCTGGCCTCTGCTAGAGTTTAGGGGCCAGAGTCCCACAGGTGTGAAGAAACAAGGCTGAACCCAGCTGCAGGGAGCCTGGGCAGGGACACAGTGGGTGGAACTCGGGCTCAGTGTGGGGGTGTAGTCACAGGGACAATAAAGCCTATTACTGGAACCAGGATATAAAGTGGAGCCAGCCCAGCCGTGAGCGGAAGTAGGGCTGAGTCACCAGCCCGGGCCCCTCCTTAAAGGGCCTCATATCAGAAGTCTGGGCTGGGCTGAGTGTGGAGGTGGGGGCCGAGTGCCCCCCACTGTGGCCATAGGATTCAAAGGGGGCAGCTGGGAGCCAGGTGGCACATGACACACAGAGGGGGTCAGCATCACAGAGAATGCCCCGGAAGGGTCTGGCGCCCTCCATGCGTGTGCACAGTAGGAGGGTCTCTGGGACTAGAGGTTGCCCTCCCCACCAAGCCAGGCTGGTGAGCAGCAGCAAGCACCCCACCCACCTTGCACGGAGCAGAGGGGGATTGGGCCCAGGGTTCCTGCCTCGGCCGTGGAGCAGCCTATGATGCCTCCTTATTTACTGAGCACCCGCATGTGCCAGGACAAGGCTAGGCTCCCGCCGTAGGTCCCCACACATGATGCAAAAAGAGGCCCCCACTGCCGCCAGGCCCAGGCAGCAGGGACAATGAGCTGGTATATCCATTATGCTGCCCAGTGACATGAAGGCCATAGGAATTCCAAGTCAGCTTCCCTCCGGGGCAGATGAGGAGCGGTTGCCAAGGCCAAGGGGCTGGGAGCTGGGGGCTGGGAGTCAGTGAGGTCACCCAAGGGTGAAGCAGCTCCTGTTGAGCTGGCACAGGAGCAGGTAGGTCAAAGATGTGTATTTTGGCTACAAAACCAACCATCAGACTTAGCTCAAGTTACATGTGAATCAGACTTTGTACTAAAGAAATTAAATCCACCACAATGAACCAGTTTTGTGGCATCGGCTCAGTTTTACACCTCCTAGAGACCAGGCCGATGCATAAACCCACATCTGTGGCTCTGCCTTAGAGAGCACACCGCTGGTGGCCGGGAAGGGAAGCCCAACTGCACAGAGCCTGAGGGTGGCTCTCACCCACCCACTCCCCTCTGCCCAAGAACATTGTCCTTGTTGGGCCAAATCCACTTCCTCTGCTCGAGGGAGAAGGGAGGACAGTTTTCTTTATGTTTCTGTTTTATTAAGCCAATGGACCCAACTCATCAAGGACTTGCGAGTCGTCACTTTCTCTTCACGGAGTTAGAAACCAAGAAGGAATGTTGGGTGCATAGACAAGGAAGAGCACACCGCAGATCGATTTAAGGGGTGCATCTCACAGCCGTACTCTTATTTGGGCCAGCTCCTTTCTGGGGGGTACAGCCTTCATCCTTCACACCCATGGAGACCCCCAGAACTGTGGAGAGGGAGGTACCGAGCCCAGCACATTAGCCACATAGCAAACAGCTCCACCCCAGGGGAAAAACAGAATTTTCTGTTTCCATCCAAAGGATTCATGGAGGAAAAAAAAAAAAGAAAATATAATATTCAGGCAGGACAGTGATAGCTTTTTGCAAGTATAAATATAATCTTCAAGATGAAATATAACCTCCCTCCGCAGCTTGGATCTGTGCCTTTGTTTACTATAAAGCCGCATCTATTTTCCTTCCTCACATCACATGCGCAGTTCAGAGCCTGACATGGTCCCCGGTGACAGGCACTGCAGGGCACACGCACCAAAAAGACGTTTTCTTTCATTGTGAAGAGTTTATGTTTGACAGGCCTTGCCTCGTAAACCCTACAATGTGAATGAAAGGGATTTTGAGAAATGGATTCCTTTGCTAAAATAAACCAGCGTTTTGCATGTATCAGGGGAGCCAGGACCGTGAATTATACGCGCTGATGTGTTTGTCAATTGATCATCCAGTTGACGGCTTACACGCTGCTAAGCGCTCACTCCATCTTTCAAAGGAAATCTTTTCAAAGGTAATATATTTTTAAGTAGCCCCGCATCAAAGATTCAGTTGAACTGCCATAAAGTAAATGTGTTCTGAGCCTATATTAACAGAACATGTTATACTACACTATCATCTACTCCCTGCGCCTACCTGAAGTTTAAACAAAGTTCCATCAATCCATCCAGACGTTTTTATGAAATGTAATTAAAGATGCATGGCACAAGAAGACAAGCAAACAGTTCATCCACACGGCGCTCTAATTCAATTTTATGCAGGTCCCTGGACACTGCTGGCTTGATTACGCTTATGGACTTCAGAAAGTAACTTCGCCGATGGTCCGTGCGCCCTGCGGCAGGCGGCCGTAGGATGCTACTGACCCCATTGCCCCGGTGCTGAACGCTCCAGTTCCCAACACCCTTGAAGTCTAGCACACGAGCCAGCAACCTATTTTTGGCTGGTGGGAGAGCACTAGACCTGACAGGACTAAGTTGGAGCAAGAAGAACAGAAAAAAGGGAAGAAGGAAAAGAGAGGAGGAAAAAGAAACGAGGGTTGTAGAAAATGGCCCCTGACCTGGGAAGCCAGAGTTTGTCACATTCCTGATGGTTGGAGTTAGGACACCAGAGCCTGTGTCCCGACACCTCCATTTCCTGGCTCTGTGACCTGGTTCTCTGGGCCTGTCTCTTCATCTGCAAAGCTGTGATGGTAATGCCAGCCAACGTATCCTGCCATCTGCAAGACATGAGCAGACCTGTCTTTCCTACGCCAGCTTTTGGAGGCATCTTGGAGAACTAAACTCACAATCCTGTTGGCCATTTTGGTTGTTCATGTTCTCTCTGCCATCGCTGCACTTTAAGATTCTGATCAAGAAGTCGGTATCATTTCCCTCTCATTCCAGGGCTGCACTTGACCCTTGGAGGACGTTAAAGCCAGCTGTCAAACTCAGCAAGCACTGACCTCCTTCTTTGAAGGTTTCCATGTCTTTCAAAGTGAAAAGACTTTAAAGCATGTGCTTGCAATCGCAAGTACATATGTCAAATACACCAAATGAAAAAAAACAAATTAAGCTTCTGAATTGCTGCTCATTTTTCCCCTGTTAAGTCACGGGATTGCCTGTCCCTCAGAGAGAGGGATGACAATGACTCCCAGTGCCTCCTGAACA